TTTTATTTGAAATGTGTGTATTATGAACGTGTTTATGTTTTGTTTTATTCGCGTTCTCTTCGTTACATGCATAGTCACACAATTTCAAGTAATGTTTTCTGTTTAAAATAAATTATGTTACATTTTTTTTGCTCAATTATGTTCTTTGATATTTCCATAATAGGTTGTGAGCTTTCTCCATTGCAGGGCTCGAACCCCGAATTTTTAACATTATAAAGCCCTAAAGCTTACCGTTGAGCCACCGTGGGATGACGGGGAGGGGAGGTTCTGTTTGTTTAATTGAATTAGTAAAGCTATACTTTTCGTCACTGTCCTTGTTAATTAAAGCTTGTATTTGTATGGGTGGTTCAGGGAACATCTGTCTGTTACGGCCCTGTATGGCCGGGTGGTTAGGGAGCTCGACTCGCAATCTGCGGGTTCGAATCTCCGTCCCACCAAACATGTTCGCCCTTTCAGCCGTGGGGGCGTTATAACGTGACGGTCATTCCCACTATTCGTTGGTAAAAGAATAGCCCAATAGTTGGCGGTGGGTGGTGATGACTAGCTTCCTTCCCTCTAGTTTTACACTACTAAATTAGGGACGCTAGCGCAGATAGCCCTCTTGTTGCTTCGCCCGAAATTCAAACAAAACTGTCTGTTACTCTTACCTGTCAGTTTTTACCGATATAAATTAAAATACAAGAAATACTACGGTGATAAGTTTTTTTTTTTTGCATTTTCAGTAAAACTTTGATACGTTTGTATTCTTCCTCGTGCACACAACTGAAATTTAACGCAGTTTTAAATTAGATCTCGTGATAAAGAACGTTTTCCAAACGGTTTTATTCTACTTAGCATGAGCACAGAGAAAGAATAAAATGAAAGCTTAGGATACTACCATAGAATTGTGTCGTTGTAAAATACTACCATAGAATTGTGTCGTTGTAAAATACTACCATAAAATTATGTCGTTGTAAAACACTAAAATACTACCATAGAATTGTGTCGTTGTAAAATACTACCATAGAATTGTGTTGTTGTAAAATACTACCATAAAATTATGTCATACTAAAATACTACCATAGAATTGTGTTGTTGTAAAATACTACCATAGAATTGTGTTGTTGTAAAATACTACCATAGAATTGTGTCGTTGTAAAATACTACCATAGAATTGTGTCGTTGTAAAATACTACCATAGAATTGTGTCGTTGTAAAATACTACCATAGAATTGTGTTGTTGTAAAATACTACCATAAAATTATGTCGTTGTAAAACACTAAAATACTACCATAGAATTGTGTCGTATTAAAATACTACCATAGAATTGTGTCGTACTAAAATACTACCATAGAATTGTGTCGTTGTAAAATACTACCATAAAATTATGTCGTTGTAAAACACTAAAATACTACCATAGAATTGTGTCTTACTAAAGTACTACCATAGAATTGTGTCGTATTAAAATACTACCATAGAATTGTGTCGTATTAAAATACTACCATAGAATTGTGTCGTTGTAAAATACTACCATAGAATTGTGTCGTTGTAAAATACTACCATAGAATTGTGTCGTTGTAAAATACTACCATAAAATTATGTTGTTGTAAAATACTACCATAAAATTATGTCGTTGTAAAACACTAAAATACTACCATAGAATTGTGTTGTTGTAAAATACTACCATAGAATTATGTCGTTGTAAAATACTACCATAGAATTGTGTCGTACTAAAATACTACCATAGAATTGTGTTGTTGTAAAATACTACCATAAAATTATGTCGTTGTAAAATACTACCATAGAATTGTGTCGTTGTAAAACACTAAAATACTACCATAGAATTGTGTCGTTGTAAAATAAAACCATAGAATTGTGTCGTATTAAAATACTACCATAGAATTATGTCGTTGTAAAATACTACCATAGAATTGTGTTGTTGTAAAATACTACCATAAAATTATGTCGTTGTAAAATACTACCATAAAATTATGT